CCTCCGAGCCCTCCGAGCCCCCCGAGCCCTCCGAGCCCTCCGAGCCCTCCGAGCCCTCCGAGCCGGCCCCTCCGAGCCCTCCGAGGGCGGCGGACGCGCGGCAAGTCGCTCGTGGCCCAGCTCGACGCGCGGCACGCCACCGAGAGGCAGGACACGCTGCTCACCTAGGCCGCTCGTCATGGGCCCAGGAGTTGCTCTCTCCGTTCACAGTAGGGTGATAAGAAACAAGAACCTCGCATGCGACGACAGTGAGGGTGTGAGAGACACAAAGGAGCGACGTGCGACCTGTCAGAGCTTGATCTCCGATCTCAGCGGTGTCGAGTCGTCTCCGGCGCGCAACAAATGTACCTCCCAGGACGCGCAGAGGCAGCTGCGACCCCGCCGAGTAGACGGGCGCACACGGCAGAGTGCAGTCTATAGCGACTAGCCTTCATGAATAGCGACCGTCTGGCGGTACCGCGTAAGTAGCCCCTTCCCCTTCTCCTCCCTTGCCTGGCCCTCACGGGGCGCAGTACTCTTGCAGCACGTTGGGCGGCACAAAGAGCAGAAAGCACGCGGCGCCGTGGGCCCCGCCGCGCGGTGGCACGACGGCGATGCCCTGCGGCCGTCTGGCATCGACCTGCAGAGCGGCGAGAGGAGGGGCGCGTCAGATCGCGTCTGACTCTAAAGGTCTGCACCTGCGGCCGTGGCCGAGAGGTGCGTAGCCCAGATGCAGCCAGTGCAGATGCCCAGCCGACAGCGAGATGCAGCCGAGGTGCAGCCGAGGTGCAGCCGAGGTGCAGCCGAGGTGCAGCCGAGGTCGGTGAGAGAAGCTAGCGAGATCGCGCCCGCAGCGTCGGGGGGACGAGTGTGCCGTTGAGCGTGTACACGAGCACCATCCTCTCTTGCGCACCTGCTCGTCGCAGCTCGGATGCGTCTCTTCCTCATTCGCGCTTAGAAGGACCAGTGGTCTGCCGTGTCCAGGAAGTGTCTAGGAAGTGCCTAGGAAGTCGGTCTCTTGCTAATTCGCGCTCAGAAGGACGAGTCTGCCGTCGGCGTCCGGGTCGGCGTCAGGCGCGTAAGCGATGCCCGCCAGGTCCTCGATCCTCGCGTTGTTGGCCTGCGGACGAGTGATGGACGTGTCGTGGACGTGACATGGACACGTGTCCTCGACTCGCGCGTTGGCGTAGCCGGCAGCTGCTTCACGAGGAGGACGTCGCTCCTGTTCACACCCCGCAAGCTGTGAACAACGACATGCAACGGCCAACAGCTGGGCGCATGCCCCTGTCGGCGCGTCGCTCCTCGGCTGCCGCCCCGTCGCCAGGATCATCGGCACCTTTGCAGGGCGGGGAAACGTCTAGGACGTGTCTCTACGAAGTGTCGAGGAAGTGTCGAGGGATTGTCGAGAAATGTGTAGGAAGATTGTGTCTCGGAAGTGTCTCTAGGAAGTGAGTGTCTCTAGGAAGTGAGTGTCTCTAGGAAGTGTCTCTTGAAGTGTCGAGGGAGTGTCGAGGACGCGGCACCCCTGCGGCATCGGAGACGAAGTGGTAGGCCGACGGCCGCGTCGGCGTCGCCTGTAGGAAAGTTCCGAGAAGCTTCGCGCGCGCGGAGGGATTAGCGGTACAGAACGAGGGGAGTATCGCCGCGACATACGCTACGCCCAGCACGCCACTGTCCGGCGTCACGCCGGCCATGCCTGGGATGGGCGATCCGAGGCCGAAACCGGTGCTGATCCAGCCGGCGCCTATTAATTAGTTAATCAGCAGTTAATTAATTAGCGCACCTGAGGCCGAAACCGGTGCTGATCCAGCCGGCGCCTCCGCCGTTCGCGGGGAAGGACGACGGCGTGCTGGCGCCGGCCACGCCGAGCGAGGCCGGGGGCGGAAAGGGCGGGGAGTGCGCAGCCGGGGGCGGAGAGGGCGGGGAGTGCGCAGCCGCCAAGTACGGAGACGGGTGGGTGAGGACTTGTCGCTCTGGCTGGCCTGAGACATTGAACAGTAATGAACAACAGTCAACCAACTAGGTGGGGAGTCGTCGCCCTGGCTGGCCTCGTGCGCCAGCCAAGGTCGAGAGGAATCCCCGCCCACCTCCACCTCCTCCTCCTCCTCCTCCTCCTGCTGCTGCTGCTGCTGCTCCTCCTCCTCCTCCTGCTGCTGCTACTCCTCCGCGACCGCCTCCGCCGCCGCCGCCGCCTCCTCCTCCTAATCCTCCTCCTCCTCCGCCGCCGCCGCCTCCGAGCAGCGGCGCCGATAGCTCGACTTCGACCAAGTGTCCGCTCACCTTGTCCGCCACAATCAGGGATGAATCATTTAATTAAGGAGTTGATGAATCCGCAGTTAATTAATTAGCTCACCTTGTCCGCCACAACCACAACGCGACCCGCGACGAAGGATACGCCTGCAGCGGACGTGTCGTGGACGTGTCGTGGACGTGTCATGCAATGGGCAGATCCTGCCAGACGAAGGACACGCCTGCACAGTGGACGTGTCGTGGACGTGTCGTGGACGTGTCATACAATGGACAGGTCGCTGTCAGACAAAGGACGCGTGCCTTCCGGCTCGCGGAAGCCGCGCAGCTCGTACACGGCCAGCAGCACCGGATCTCCGCCCGCCGAGCCCATCACGTACTCCCTCAGCTGCGCCGGCTCGCACGTCAGGGCGACAAGCCAGAGGTTGCCGTCGCCGTCGACCTGCAGCACCGCGCCGTCGACGAGGTCGCCTAGTCCGCCAGGGTACTGCTGTGGGGTGGACATGCGTGGCCTCCACTGGTCTGCTGCGAGGCATCGCCTGTACACAAGTCACGTGCTGATTGATTGAGAACCTCCTTTAGCACGCTGCGGCGATGCGGCGTCTCGAGCGCTGCCGTTGACGCCGCTCAGCGTCCAGCCGCCCGTCTTGCGAAACCCGTCCAGCGAGAAGGGCGCGCGCGGCGGCCGTGGCGGCAGCGGCGGTGCAATCGGCGGCGGCGGCGGGGAGGCGGGTGGCGGCGGCGGCGGGGGGGCGGGAGGCGGCGGCGGCGAGGGAGACGGCGGCGGCGGCGGTGGTGCCGGCGGAGGAAAAGGACTCGGCGGCGAGGGCGGTGATGGTGGCGGCAAAGGCGGGGACGGGGGCGGGGTCGGGGGTGCCGGCAGGCTGGGAGGAAGCGGGGGAGGCGACGGCGGCGACGGCGGAAGAAGGGGAGGCGAGGGCGGCGAGGGCGGCGAGGGCGGCGGCGGCGGCGGCGGCGGCGGCGGCGGCGGAGCCGAGGGCGGCGAGGGAGGCGGATATGGAGCATTCGCACTCGAAAGCCACCATGGCGTTGGCGGTGGCGGCGGCGGCGAAGGACGTGGTGGAGGCGTCGGCGGCGGCGGCGAGGGCAGCGGCACAGGGGGCAGAGAGGGCGGAAGCGATGGCGGCGGCGACGAAAACAAATACAGTGATACGAAGTCCAAGGCTGTGTCCTCGGTCGGGACGCTAGATCGTAGCGCAAATAGCCCAAGGAAGCATACGGCAATCCCCGAGCATAGGAACACGCATCCTAGCCTCATCACGGAGGGGCGGGCCGCTTTGTCAGCCTCCGACGAGATGAGTTGGTGGAACGAGTTGCTCTGGCTGAGCCGCACGCTTACCTCGCGTTGTTTGCCCATTCTGCCTCGGTCGATGGCCTACCTGTGTACCTGTGGCCGACAGCGATTCGAAGCCGATTCCACAGGTGAGTCCGTCCTGTCCCCCCTTGGTGTGTGTGTGTGTGTGTGTGTGAAAGCGCCGTCGCAACTGCCATGTCGGCAGGTTGTAGGCTGGTGCTCTCGCCCCGCTGGCGGCGCGGACCGGTGCTGCGGCTCCGAGCCCTCCTGTGGGCCCGCGGCGGCTCGCCGTCGCGGTGCCGAACAATGTCATCGGTCCGGATTCATCCCGGCGTGCGCCGGTGACGCTTCTTCGCCGAAATCTTGCTCAAGCTCTTTGTCGACAAACCTGCCCCAAAGCTCCTGCTGCTCGACTGCGCGGCGGAACCGGCCCCTGGATGCTGAGATGTGAGGCGCCGGCACCGGGGCTACATACAACGCGGGGCCATCTCCAGGCTGTCTCGGGCAACCTCAAAATTGGCGCCTCTCTCTGCTGCTGCTGCTGCTGGCCCTGCTGCTGGTGCTGCTGCTGGTGCAGATGCTGCTGCCGGTGCGGCTCGGCTCTCCGACTCGACTCGCCGCGGGCGTCGCGGGCATCTGACGCGGCGGGCAGCGTCGCGGGCGGCAGCGATCGCGGCTCGACGGTGGAGGCGGAGGGTGGTGGCTGTGGTGGACCTTTGAGTTTATTTAATGGTCGAGTACGAGGACTGGGGGTCAACCGGGAGGCAGGGGGTTCAACCAGGCGACGGAGGACCGTGGGCCATCGCGGGGACCACTCAGCCCGGAGGGCGCGGTGGAAAGATCCGGATGGTCTCACCCGGTGGGAGGCACTGAGGCGTCTAGGGCGCTCCACTCTACCTTAAGCTCCTGAGGGGCGCGTGGTTGTGACCACGTAGTATGACTACAGCCCACCACAGACACCCTCCCTCTCCACACGTGTGCACACACCCTCACCCTCTGCCCTCTCCTCTCTCTCTCTCTCTCCTCTCTCTCCTCTCCTGCCCATCCCGGAGTGGTTCGATCCCACATGAATCCGAGACGGTGATGGGAGGCGTCTCGGCGGTCTCAGACCCAGTGAGGTAGTGCGCCAGACTACCCCGGATCCTGCTGAACAAGCTCCTCTTGTAGCTCGATCGGTCACACCGCCATCACCGTCGGGGAGAGGGGGGACGACACTGCTCTGGCGGCGTGCACCTCGATCCTGCACCGTGTTTGTTATGACCCACACCCAATGAACACTCCAGTGAGGGAGGGCGAGACGATCGGAGGGGTCCCGTACCATGCGGAATCGGCCCTATCAAGTGCTCATGAGGGGTCTGCTGACTCTTTTGAGCGCGTGACGGTGGATTGTAGTCGATTGTCAAAGCGAGAGCTTCGCAAAGCGTCTGTTCGCTGCGATGCTTGAGAGCATCGCAGTCTCGCCTCAGCTGAGGCCGGCCATGCGCCTCCAGCGCACGGACAGCCTCTGGAACGCGGCGGTATTCAGCCAGCACTCGAGGGATGCGGCATACGTTCGTGATGCTGGAGTACAGGCTGGCTTATTGAGCGCCTGCTCCGACGCAGTGAGCCAGGTAGTACGGGTGGCACACGTTGACATGGCGCACGTTGCCGCCATGGCGCTGCTCGCGTGCTTGCTCTCCGGGATGGCGAACGCCGTTTGGATGCGATTCTTGGAGAAGAGCTTCCCCGGTGGCACCCTGAGAGCCGTCTCGTTGAAGACTCTGGTTGACTATGGGTGCTGTGCGACGTCCTTCAACGCGTTCTTCCTCGTCGGCATCCCATGGCTCACGGCTGTCTTTGCTGCCCTGGCCTCGGACGGGCTCAGCCCTGCCCCGGCCTCCCTCCTCGAGCACTGGAGCGTGGAGGACTGGCACGCGCTGATGCGGCTCGAGGCGTGCACCTTTGTGCCCTACAACCTCCTCGCCTTTCGGCTGGTGCCGGTGCACTTGCGCCCCCTCGGGTCCGCGAGCCTCTCCGCTGTGTGCACAGTGGTCCTTTCGGGCGTGACGCTGGGGTTTGGATAATATCGCAGCGGCACAACCGCTCTCACCTCTCTGTGAAGCGACCACACGTGTGGAGTGTCTGCCGCGGTTATAGCCCCCCGCTACCCGGTTGCACTCGTGCGACGTAGCGGGGGGCCACGACTACGTTTACGAAATATAAAATAAAATATCTTTACTTCCAACACCCGGACGTTCCCAGGGTGATGGAAGGTTCGACGCACCCCCGGTGCCCGGACTGGGCAGACGAGAGATCCCAGGGCATCTATGGCCAGTGGCCTGGGCTGTCCACCCCGCCCCCACGACTACGTTTACGAAAACATAAGTAGTCCTGCGAGGTGTGAATTTGGCCGCCCCAGTAGCTCCCTTTCAGGCTTCCCGGTTTTTTAGCGCGTGTCCCCAGATAGATGCCACTCCCACACTTGCCAGACAGAACCGTAAAGCCGTATCGCCGGCCTCACCGGCCCTCACTTTGACCGACGCTACCGTCCGCTCGACTGGCCCGATGAAGAGCGACCCGTACGACGCGCACTTGTCGTCCTCCCTCCTCGCCACATGACGGCCGCCCCCAGACACCGACAGTCGCGCTCCGCACGCCTCTTGCTCTTCGCGCGGAGAGTCAGCACTCACAGGTGTTTCAGGATGGTCTCAGCAGCGGCCGAGCGACGCGATCGCTCGTCTTCCCCGATTGCTGAGGCGCGGGCGCAGCGCTCTCAGAGAGGCGCTTTGTACTCGGGTTTGGTTGGTAGCGGGGGGCCCCGCCGGAGGCTGATTACTGATATTATGAGACGCTCATATTGTGACGAGTCTACATCGCTCTCACTCCCCACACGCCGTACCTCGTCTCAAAGCCTCCCAGCTCCCACACGGCACACTCTGAAGTGTTCCGCTTCTCTACGGAGAGCGCGCGACTCCACGCCACTCGCCAGCCCCCCATTGGCATTGCGCGAGGATCTCGCAACCCCGCCCGCCGAGGCCCGAGGCCGTCTCCTTCCCGCCCTCTCCCCACTGCCCGTCATGGCACCTCCGTGCCGCCCGATTCGAAGAAGGTCGTCGCCTGCTCGGCCGTCCAGCCAGACATGCGCTCGAGGTCGATCGGGACGTCGTCCGCCATCGCGTCGGATTGAATCGACTCGAGGTCGGCCAAGCTTAGTCGACGCGGCGCCCCCCCCACAGCTGGCTCCTCCGCCGCTGGCTCCCCCACCGGGGCCGCCCCCACCGCCGGGGTTTGCTCCCCCTCCGCCGCGACCGCCTCCTCCGCCTCCGCCGCCTCCGCCGCCGCCCCGACCGCCACCGCGGCAATCCCCGCCTCGACCGCCGCCACCTCAGCCGCGGCAACCTCGGCCGCCGCCGCCTCGGCCGCCTCGGCCGCCTCGGCCGCCTCGGCCGCCTCGGCCGCCTCGGCCGCCTCGGCCGCCTCGGCCGCCTCGGCCGCCTCGCCCCCCGGGGGCGTGGCCGCCGCCACGCCGTTCGGGGCGGGGGTGGTGTCTGGAGGGTCCGCCGGCTCCATCTCCGCCAGCTGGTCCGCGACGGCAAACGGCGGCGCGAGCGGCGCGGGAGCGGGCGGCGGCGGGGCCTCTGCTGCGGGCGGCACCGCCGCGGGCGTGGCTTTCAGCTCGGCCAGCTTGGTCTTGGCGGGCGCCTTCCTGCGCGGCATGGCCTGCAGCGGCATGAAGCCGAGCGAGCTCGGCGGCGCCCCCTTCTTGATCATCCCAGACTCGACCCTCGCCACAACCTGCTGCTGCTTCGACTGCTCGAGGTCCGCCACGCCGTGCGCAAACGTGCATCGCGCGCCCTGCATGCACAGGCCGCGCTGGACCCAGTACTTGCACAGCTTCGTCTTGGCGTTCGGCGGCGGGATCTTGGGCGCGGGCTTTGGCCGCGCCGGCACAGGCGCCGCCGCCGCCGCCGCCGGCACCGGCTGCGCTGGCTGCTGCGGTGTCGCTTGCGGTGGCGGGGCTCCCGGCGGCGGCGGCGGCGGCGGCTGCGGCTGCGGCGGCGGCGGCTGCGGCTGCGGCGGCGGCGGCTGCGGCTGCGGCGCGGCCTTGAGCGCCTCCATAGCCTGGTGGGCGACCGGCTTCAGCTGCGAGGGGTCGGCGAGCAGCGGCAGCAGCTGCTCGATCGGGAAGTCGAGCATCATACCTGCGGCGCCGAACGGCGCAAGCTGACGCGTGCACGTTCGCTTTGGGCCAGCAGGTGAGGCAGCCTCTGCCCACGCACAAGTTGCGCGTGGTGGCGCTGCTCACCCACCCCGTCGATCCCTCTCTCTCTCACCCACACGCGCCGGCGGACTCTCGGCGCACCTGTGACTTTGCCAACGTCGGAGACCTCCGGGATCGCGGACAGAGCAGCGTACAGCCACTCCCCGACCATCTGCCGCCGCCGCGGCGGCGCCTACAGGACGCCAAGCGCTCAGAGGGCTCCGACTCGGCCCCGTGGGGCGGCGGGCATGGGGCGGTGCGGCGGCGCCTCGCGCTCGACTGCGTCTCGCAGCTCCTCGAGCAACTGCGCGGCGGCGGAGGGCGGCGGCGGCGGCGGCGGCTCCGCCACGGGGGCGGGGGCCGGAGGCGGCGGCGCGGCCTCGGGCGGCGGCGGCGAGGGCGGGCCCGCGGAAGCGCCGCCCGAGGGAAACGGGTTCGGACGCGCCGTCGGGGGCGAGCGCGCGGTGACGCCAACCTCTCCGCCGGCGCCTCCGGCGCACTCGCGAGCCGCGGCGGTCGTCAGCGTCGGCCGCGCCGCCGCCGCCACGCCGCCGCCGCCGCCGCCCGCCGCCAAACCGCGGGAGGGCCTTGCGGCAAGCAGGCCGCTCCCGAGCAGCATGGAGGGCGCCGGCAGCGCGTCGGGCCGCGGCGCGTGCCGGCGGCCCGCGTGCGGGGCCGCGTGCGCGGCGCCCAGATCGGAGCTCGGCGTCTCGCTCTCCGCAGCCGCAGCTGCGACTGGCTGAGCGCCGGCTCGGGCGGCGCCGGGGCTTTCGAGCGTGGCGAGGAGCGCGGAGACGGAGGAACGACAGAGCTCCGCCTGGGAGAGCTGGCGCTCGGAGAGCGCGCCCGCGTCGACCAGGATGCTCATCAGCGCCTGCGCCGAGCGCAGCTCGCCCTCGGCCGCTGCCGGCTCGATCGAGCGCTGAACGGAGCCCCAGAGGCGCCACGCGCGGCCAAAGAGCTCGGCCGGGTCCGACGTGCCCGCGAGCTGGAGCAGCTCGCCAAAGGACGTCATCGGGGCACGCCCAAACAACACGCCCAACAGAGAATTTTACTAGCGGGAGCATTTTACAACAAAACTCCCTCGCACAAGCTCTTGGTGTCCAGTCCGAGCCTGGCTGTTCTTCACCTTTCTACCTACCTACCTACAGAGAAAGAAACTGTCTTATTCACAGGGCAGCTGTGATCTGTGATCTGTGAGGGTCCGCCCGCAGGCGCATTTTGTATACCGAGGCGGTGCCCGGTGCCGAACCTGTCGGACCTTAAGTAAGACAGCGTTGTAGCCGGGGAAACCATCAAATTTTTCGGGCTCTGAGCCGAGTCTGAGGCTGGTTTGGGCCCAAAATCAGCCAAATCGGCAAAATACCCGGTCGGTGGAGAGGGAGGGGGGTGGGGACGGCGGGGGCGGGGAGGGTGGTGGCGGGGAGGGCGGGGGTGGGGACGGAGGGGGTATTTTGCGGGTACCTGGAAAAACCCGGGTAATACCCGGTATGTTGTGCCGGTTTCCTCGGTTTTGCCTCAGATTTTGCCCCAGACCAGCTCTCAGACTCACGGAAACTCGAGAGTTGCCAGAATGGAGCTCCAAACACTCTCTGTTTTCCCTGGAAATTTCCGGAAACGCAAAGTGCTGGGGACCTCGTCATTCAGGCGGCGGCGCAGAACGAGGCAGAGGAGAGCGACGCGACAGAGGAAGAAGCGACAAGAGAGAGAACGACGAGAGTGGGACGACCGCGAGGTGGCATGAAGGTTGCAGCGAGAATCGGCGAGGGACTGCGAAGAGAGATAGGAAGAGGCGGGAGCCCAAGGGTGGGCGACGGCTAGCAACATACCTTTTATTTCTTTTTTGAGTCCTAGTCTGGACGATTTTTATCTCCCCGTAACTCCCTCTATCTCCGCGTATTCCATCTATCTCGCCGTATCTCGCCGCATTTGCCTCTATCTGTCTGCCCGTACTCGAGTATCTGCCTGCCCGTACGTATCTACTCGAGTACCCGTGAGAGAGATTTTGAAAACCAACAAGAAATCACGACTCACACAGTGATTTGGGCTCGGCAGCTTGTCAGGAGCCCTCCAGCCGAAGCTGGGGCCGGTCTCCCGTAGCCGAGTGCTGAGAGAAGCCCGCGTCGATGAGTTCGACGCGGTCGGGAGCCCCCGAGGCCTTGCGGAGAGAGACCAGCGAGTTGGCGATCGCTGTACTTCTCTCTTCCCGCGCGCGCGCGCGCGCGCGCGCGCGTGTGTGTGTGTGTGTGTGTGTGTGAGAGAGAGTCTGTGTGTGTGAGTCTGTGTGTGTGTGTGTGTGTGTGTGTGTGTGTGTGTGTGTGTGTGTGTGTGTGTGTGTGTGTGTGTGTGTGTGTGTGTGTGTGTGTGTGTGTGTGTGTCTGTGTGTGTGTGTGTGCGTGTGAGGTGTGTGTGCGCGCGCGAGAATTCATAGCTCTGCCGTTCATGGAGGCAACCGATGGCGATGCGAGTCGACTGGTGTGTGTCGTCGTGGTTTGATTCGTATCAAGAATGCTCACTCACTCACTCTACCCGTATCAAGAGAGAAAATCTCTCTCCCGCATCTCGAGCGCATCATCTCCCCGTACTGGGCTGGGTTTTTAGGCATTGTGGGGTTGGTGGCACTCCCATCGACCCTCATGACCTCCTGCGGTCTCTGAGATG